AATCCCCACACCCGTCAGAGAAGCAGTGCAAAATGACAATCTGGGCTCACGTTCTCGTTGGAGGGGGGGGGGGTTCTAAAACGGCAAAATAGATCGGTGGTGGTGGTGGTGGATCGACGGGAACTTCCCTTTTTTCCCTCCCGCGCCCGTTGGGATGATTTTTGTTTCTAAAGGGGGAAAAAACGCTACAAGCTAAACGGGGGGGGGAAAAAAGAATAGGAAAGATACACCGTATGATTGGGATTATCGTGTCCATATGGCATAAAAATAACACATCCACAAGGAACCGTCAAGTCGATCGCCATACTCGAGGTAGCCGCTTCTTTCTCCTTCATTAAATTATTCTACTTTTTACATTTTCACATTCAGTGCACTAGGCTTATCAAAATAAAGTTATTTTTTCTTTCAAAAAAAAGAATGAAAGACTAAACAAATAGAATTTAGATTTCCTACAAGTGTATACGTGTACACATATTTTCCCCTTTTCGCTTTCCTTATCATTGAACCTTTATTTCAATAAAAATAGGGTAAATTTTTTTTTTACCAGTGAAAGTAGGGGAGGCGTGGAGCGACGATTGTCATCGTATCCCTTCAACCCATTTACAAAACCCCTTGTTCCTATCGCGCCGCTCTTCTTCCTCATACGTCGTTCAAATTCCATTGAAAAAATAAAAATGGAATGAGAATTCGTACGCCAATTACATTCCATTGCATGGGCAATAACGTGATAACTTGTACACCAGTTTTTTCCTCGTGGACAGTACTATTACGTGTTTAGCTTAAAAAAAAAAAAAATACTTCGGTTTGGCATCCATGCCCCAAACCAGAAGCACCTTTTTCCTGCTCATTTTTTCCCCTCCACACCTTTCCCGAAAGGTCTTTCGTTGCTTTTGCTTTGAATACAATAATAGAAATAAAATAATAACATGCTGCTCAACCAATGAAGAGGAAGAGGTGTTTCGGTGCCAAAAAAATGAAGGCAATTGCAGTCAAAAGGATCATAACGCATCCAACTACGCCGTCTCGATGATTTTTATCTATTTTCTTTACTTCTTTCCCCTGTAAACCCACGTTTCTCTTTTAGTTATAAGGAGAAGTCGTGTGAGCGATTTCAGCAATAGTTGCAATAGCGACTAAAATAAAAGTCGTGGAATGAATCTAAGGCAAAGAATGAAAAATACATAATAGTAAAAATAAAACGTTCTGCGCGGGAAAAAGAAAAACTCAATGGGTGATTGCCGAAGTACCGTGGATTTATATAAACCAGATTTAAGAAATGAGGTTGAAACAGAAAGGTAATAGTGGAAAAGGATCGCCCCCCCAAAAAAACGACGTCGGATGACACATGCAGTATAAATCATCACCAAGGCATAAATTTAGATCTATATTTATATATAGATAGACAGCTTTTATTTGCTCTTTTTCATTCACTTTTTCTCCAGGACCAATTTTCTCCAGGACCAAATATGCAGAATGAGATAATATCAACACTAGAAAAATGAAAAGGATCCTATTCACTATACATCATGTCTAAAATCATTTCTCTTTTTTTTTTGTCTTTTCGACACCGAGGAATCTCAAAATAAATAAGTATGATCCATTTCAAAAATGACCGCTTTATTTAAAAATGGGCCAACACTGATGGCCTTTTGCATATCGATGATAAGTAATACTTTCTGAACGAGAAAGTTATTAATAATGGAATTTAATTATAAAAGAAAAAAAGAAAAAAACGTATCACAAAATTAATAAAAAATGAATCTTATAAAATAAAAATAAAAAGGGAGATATCTCAAAAGCTAAGAAAAAAAGGAGCTGGGTGGGTCTACCGATGGATGAAGAATTTGATTGAAAATCCTGGTATAACACCCTATTACCTGTATCCCTCAGCGCATCTTTATATAGTATGCTCCTACTTTAGTCAGTACGTACGCGGTCTTATTATTTTCCCTGTAAAGCAAGCATGATCAACCTGGATTACCAGTTGTCCTGCGTTCTCCTTGAATGGAATCCTATTCTATAAATAAATATCTAAGCGATCCATTCAATTCTATCGGACGAGCCCTACTAAAGGTGGAGTTTCTCGAATAAATTAAGCTTGAAGGTATTCATTCACCCTATACGGGGCGAAATCATAAGTCATACAACCACTTCGGGAGAAAGAAAGAAGCCTTCGGTAATTAAAACAATAGTAAAAGAATGATAACAATAAAAAGATAAAGAGGTAAACAACAAAACCAAACAAAAAAGAAAGCAATCGCCTAGTGCACTTTTTTATTAGTTGATTTTTTTTTCCCGTGCTTGGTATCCCCACTAAATCATGCGTAGTGAGAGAAGAAAAAACATTTATTACAATAAAATAAAAAGAACTAAGCATCGATTCAAAAAAAATTTCCCCTTTCATGTTATTTCATACGAAAATGAAAATTTAGTCCCTTTCCTCACAGTTTCAAATATTCTTTTTTTTACTTTTTAGGCTTATTTTATTTTTATTTTTATTACGAATTTAATTACGTTCTAGTAACTCTTTGAAATGCACATCCTCGGATGCGTCGTGAGAGAAAATGAGAGAGAGAGAGAGAGAAAGATCCGGTGTGTGTCTCTTGGGTATCTTTTTGTTCCCTCTCGAACCAAAAAAAAAAACCTCCTGTTCGTTGTGGTAGTCTGATAAAAAAAAAAAAACATTCGTCTGAGAGCACATCGCTGGTGTAATTATTAAGATTTGTTCGCTTTCGGGTTTTTTCTCTATGGGGTACCCTCTCCCATTCTTTCCTTTGTTTTTGTTTTCTTTTTTTTTTTTAGCTTTTTTTTTCCTCCCCCCCCTGCGGACGACCTTGAGGGGGGCTACACGATGGCCGAGCTCACGTAGATCTTCTGGCGGGTCTTGAACCCGTTAAACGCGGACCCCGCGGCGGTGGTATAACTCCCCATATCGAACGCCAGCACCCAATCCCCGATGCCCATCTCGGGAAAGGGCCGGCGCTTCAAAATGCAGTCGAGGGAATCGCAGGTGGGGCCGAAGATCGTCGTCAGGCGGAGCGGCCGCCGCGGGCAGGCGCGGCGGCGAAGCGCGGCGTCGCGCAGGCCCGCGAAAGGCCACGCCGGCGCCTCGCCAAACTCGTCGTTGTCGTCGTCGTCGGGGCGGTCTTTGTTGTCGAGAGCGGCGGCGGCGGTGGGGCCGAAAGGGTGGGGATAGGCGGGCGGGAGGCCCCCCGCGGCGTCCGCGCCGTCGGCGTCGTCGAGCAGCACGAGTTTCGGGTGGGCGTGGTCGAACAGCAGGCAGTTGAAGCTGTCGTAGACGCCGTCGTTGACGTAGTATTGGTACTCCACCAGCGCGTCGCCCGGGGCGGTGGGTTTGTTCGCGTCGCCGTCGAGGCCGTCGGGGTCGGGCAGGAGGAGGGCGGTCTCGGCGGCCGCGGCGAGGGCCTCGTGGAGCCCCCCGGGCACCCGGACCGTCCGCATCGCGAAGACGTTCATCGCGAGCAGGTGCGAGGCCGCGGTAAAAAAGCGCCCGGGCTCGCTGACGATGGTCGTGTTCGGGAAGAGCTCGGTCAGCAGCGGCGCGATGGCCGCGGCGATGGCCTCGAAGGACAGCGCCGGGGCGTCGTCGGCGCCCGGAAGGGTCCCGGGGAAGCCGCCGCCGATGTCCAGCATCGTGCAGTTGAAGCCCTCCGCCGCCGCGAGCTCGAAGACGGCGTGGGCGTCGCGGATGGCCCCGCAGTACGCCGCGACGTCGGTGTTGCCGCTGCCGACGTGGAAGCTGACGCCGTAGATGTCCAAATTCAGCCGCCGCGCGGTGGCCAGCAGCGTCGGGATCTCCCGCAAGTCCGCGCCGAACTTGGCGGAGAAGGCGCACTGCGCGGCCTGGTCGTTCGTGCGGATGCGCAGCAGCACCTGGGCGTTGGGCATGCCCCGCGCGACCTTCCCCAGCTCCGCCGGGT